GCTTATAACCCCGCCCCGAGGAATATCGAGTACTCTGGGGGAGTGAATGTGACCAGATATCTGTTTGTGGTGNATATATATATAAACACCATACATATAGCATTCTAGGATATCAACATAGTATATATTTGAAATCAGAGCGTCAGTAACGAGACGCTCAAATGGCTGCAGTTTAAAACAAAATATGCGCGAAAGAAGAGAAAAAGAAGGAAAACACGCAGAGAGCCGGCGATGACCTCAGCTGTTTGCCGGCCCATAAACTTCCCACTTTATTATTATTTATCTAAGGTTGAGATGAAAAAGTTAAGAGTCGTTCGAAGCCGAAGGTCGTGGGTTCGAATCCCGCTCGTAACACTAAGCTCATAAACTCAACCAAGGCCTTAGAATAATTAATAGGTCAATTATGACAGCTAAGCATACATGGATTAAAATGTCTAATAGTGAACTATCTAGAAGACTGAAAAATCCCAAACACAAACATTCTGATGGTCCCAGTTTATTTGTGATGTTCCATTGGATGAAGGATACAAAGGAGTTATGATTGTTATGACTCATTTCAATCCGATTAGTACGCGCTAATGAATGAAAGGTCAAAAGGAACAAATCCATTTTCAACAAACACGAAATTTATGTAAAATTTCATAAATAGCTATTCTATTGTAAAATGGATTAAATGATTATGAAAAAAATGTTTAAGGGTACTTACATCTGAAAAACTGCAGCCGCGGCGAAGATTAACTTTTTTTTTTTTAGAGAAATTTACTATTAAAGGGTAGCCGTCATACCCGAGCATAAACTATTGTTTTCAGTCACTTCCTTTACTAGGTTAACTTTTAAAAAAACATCTCGCAAACGACTCTCTCGAGAAGATCGGCTGCTTTCATGGTTCATCTTATGCAGCAGTTAGATTATTCAAAAGCCGTAAAAAGAAAGAAAATTAGGGGTGATGTAAAAATCCAGATTTGTCTTGTTTAAAAAAAATGCAATTGGCTATTCTAAAACCGTTCCAGATTACTTTCACTTTCCAGCTGCCGGGCATTTGAATCTATTATCGCGGAAGCGCTGGTTAAATTGGTCCATTATCGCAGACCGCAGTCCTTCACGGGATCGAACATGGTGGTTGCAACGGGTCAACTAGATCTTTTTGGCATGCCTCCAATTTCTCGTCTTGGGCCGCTTAAAGAATTCCAGTTATGAAATCATCCGAAAGCATAAAAGTATCTGACAAAATTAGCCTTTTCGACCCTCTCCTCCGTCGGGGTTTGTTTTGTCTGGAGGCACGGAACCCAAGCCACTCTAATTGCTGAGTGAGTAATGGGCGATCACGGAACGGATCTTGTAACACTATCTGTTACGATAGGGGACAGTCGATTCAAATCATGAATGTTAAGTAGACCTGTTGATCCCTGATACTGCATTTAATAGTAGTAAGTCTTATAAATTTACTAGCTTTATAACCCTGCATTGCCCATGGGTATAATAAAAAGTGTTATTTAATATAATATTTTGAGTACATATATTGTTATTGCTAGTTAGGAGCATATATATAAATTAAATAAACACAATCGAATAATTGATTTTAATGATTGTATTTAGTCATCAAATTAGATGTTTACATATGCTATATTAGTATTGTTTGGGATTACATTGCATTAAATTGTAATTATTGTTGTATTCAGGTTAAACTCATTGCAATGCTCTTGGATATACAATATGTTTGGTGATTCCATTTCGCATTTATAGAAACGACTAATCCCCCATCCTGGAGCATGCAAACGTATAATCGTCCATGAGAAAAGCATGGATTCTCCAGATTCAATTCACATAATAGCAATGATTGACCTTGATATTTATTTATTATTACTGCAAAAGCCAGTTCAATTGGAAATTGCGATCGTTTGAATTGGAAAGGCACTTCTGTTTGAATCATTGGTATATGTTGTATTATCACATCCTCTCCTATGAATTTGAGTAAGAATGTTAATATTATTCTACGAACAATATGTTGTCGTTTTCGTGACATTTTAAACTTCAACAAAATATTCCAAAAGAACAAATATTCCAACAGCATAGTCAAAAAGTAGCAAACTTAATTCATAATATGGCAAAATCATCGCAGTTAATACTGTACGGTAAGAAATTTGCAAAACATTAGAAAACTGAACACATGGAACTTCACAACCTTTCACATTATAAAATTTAAAATGTTAATAAATCCAATTGGCAAAACAACAGCTCTACATTTAATTTAAAATGACCGAGTTCGGTAAAACGATGTTTAATACTATTTTACATAATGTATAAATGTTTATGTATGCATACATTTAAAACAAAATCGGTTTTTATAGTTAGTTTTTATATTCTTACACTAAATTAAAGTTTACTTGGAACACTTTTCACAATTGTGAAGGTTTGGCGGTTAAGCCACATGCCGGTAGTTTGTTCTCCTACCCTACACCACTGCTGCCTATAGTAAAGATCCAAAGTTGAAGTTTGAATCTTCCTACCTTTACATCAGCGAAAATAATTCTGTAGTTTTTGCGACTATAACGTAGTAACAGTAGTTTTGCAACTGTAACCGATCGGTAATTTTTGCGAGTACACAGTGTTAGCGCCGTTTTTGCGTCTATTGACTGCGTCTGTTAGCGCCTCCAAATCGGAATTTGAAAGGCGCATACCGGGAGCCGAAGGCCCTACTGGCTAGATGACAGATGGGAAAACAGATGTGAAAATGGAGACGCCACAAATTCCAGAAGTCTCTCTTGTTTTGTAAATCCATTATTTATATGCCCATTTTTTACTATCTAAACCCTCCCGGCACTAATAAAAACAAAGTGTGAAAGTTTCAAATATAATTTTTTCTATCAAAAAATAATTTTTTCCACAACATTTTCAACTTCCAAATGCCTTCGAGTTGTTTTACAAAAACGATGATAACTTTGAAACTATATTTCTACGCGAATTTAGGTTGAAACCCATAATACATGGTGTTCGGAAATAATTTAGAGCCAGAATTGAAATTTTTGTAGATTTCGTCCTTATTTTTCTTACTTACATGTAACGATATAAAATTTAAATGTTGTTAGCATAGACTTGAAGAAGAGATATGCAACTTTCCAACGGTTCTAAAACTGTTGAAATTGGATTACATACAGAGGTTATGCATTTTTAACATGAAGAGCATCAGACATCAAAGTAAAAAATTGGTCCCGTCAGTACCAATCCAAAAATCTCAATATTTATTCCTATAAAAGTTCTATTTATGCCTTAAAGAGTACATAAAAGGAATTGGGATCGATTTTTTTAAAATAATTGTTATTGTAAGTTTTTATCTATCTAAAAGTCACTTAATATATGTAAAAGTTAAGAGACTAGTAATGCTGTATGCTTGGAGAAAATTCGATTCTGATGGAATAAATATGAACTTTCCATATACCAAACGGCTATTTTCGATCTTCCGTGTATATTGAGAGCAACATTAGACTAAAATTTAGCCTTGTTTCACACCCACGCACGTTTGCATACAATTGTAACCTCCAATAAAAATGTCTAATTAAGGGCCTTAAAGGGTGCTTAAATCGAATTTGGATCGTATTTTATTTATTTTGGTTTTTATAAGATTTTATTTATCTAACTGTCATTTAAAAGAATCCTGCTTATTATTTTGTTATGCTACATAAAAGTTAGAAGTCTACCTAATGTATTCTGAAAGAAAATTGGGTTCTAATGGAATAAATATGAACTTTCCATATACCCAACGACTATTTCCGATCATTCGTGTACATTGAAAACAACACTGGCTTAAAGATTTATTCGTCGGTTTAGTTGGTTTTGGACGATCCCTGGATGGAAATAAATGCCATAATAATGTCAGAATAGAATAATCAGAAAAGTTGTTTACGTGGAATCTGAGCGCGGGCATTTTTCTCAAATAAAAAAAGAAACAATTTGATTGAAATTTCAACTTGGTTCATTCCACAAAGAGCTTTCGATGGCATCTCCCTATATTTCAGGTACTTTTGTACTACGAAAATAAAAGGATAGGCTTAAAGGACACACACGCATTTCGTAAAAACGTACGGTATTAATTATGCTTGCCATTCATCGATCGACCCAGGTGAATGAACTATCTTTTTGATCTTGTTGTACGCAGCACACGCAATAAAACAATCAATGATGATAAAAGCATGGTTTCTTCGACCGGCGAAAAGCCTAAACCAAGCATAACTTTTTTTTACACATACTCGATTTACGTTAGAAGACACGATGCGTCATGAAGTGAGCGATGTAAACGAATTGATATTTATCATTTCATTATAAAATTTCGATCTTAAAGATTAAATTATTTTAATTGTTACATTAATCGGATTGGGCGGTTGGATTTTTTTCAATACTTTTTCTTTATTACTATATATTCTCGTGTACAAATGACGATTATACATTTATGGGATTTTTGTATGTTGTACAAAATAGTATTACGTTTGTTGATTTTGTTTCATTCAATCTTCACTTAGACGTGTTATTTATCTCGTATTGCCTTTCCTACAGTTGGGGCATTAAGTTGGAATAAATCTTAAATATTTACATCTTAAATTACGTAAACCGCTGCATGGAGGAAGCATTAGTACACATTTGAAGAAAAAATCCTAGAAATTATTCGTCATGTCAGTCTGCATAATTGGTGCAAGAGGTTGTTTTCCTGATTTTAACAATTTTCAAATATGAAATTTATGATTCATTAAGATCGTGACATAACCGTCTAGGTACGCAACCAGATTTGCAGCTTTCCCAGTTATACAATTGTCCAGTCATCCTAGCCTGTCGAAACGACTTTTCCTTTACCTAATTCACAGCCCAGATCATGATCTTATTTCTGGAAGATGAATTAACATCTGTTAGAAGTATTTTTATTATTCTTTGGCATAAGTTAATACAAGATATTTACTAATTAGCCTTAAAAATATAATGGGCAATATTAACAATTTAAATTGTTTTTTCAGAACAGGACACGCTTAGAAAACTATTTCAATCTATTTAACGAGCCACAAACAACGAAGGTGTTTTATTTTCAGGTGATTATGATCGGGATGTAAAGGATTTGAAAATAAGTTAAAAATTGTATTATTAATGAGAAAATATTGCCAGATCGCTCCGGATGGTAGAAAATTCAATAATTTTATCTAATCTAACATATATAGTTGCAAATGCGTTCATGAACTGAAAAAAATTTTTTAACAATAAACGTATGGGCGGGAAACGAACAATTTATGATTTTTTCCCAAATGAGATTTCTTATCAAATCCGGTCCTTCGAGCAAATCTAAATCAGTTCATGCAGTATTGCATACAACAATAGTAAACCGTTTTATTCCTACTTTAGCATAAAACATACAATTAAAATAATGAGAGTGATAGAATAAAAATATATATATAATGGTTAACAAACGCTATTCGTTTTTCAGACGTCAACCGCCAGTATTTTTCCTTCCACTACGAAGCTTTATTTTGAAAAGAAATCGGTTGAAGGAGTAACTACAAAACCGAAAATTGTAATTTAATTTCTAGCACCGTTATTAAAATCACAGGGAACGGACCGACGAGAAACATTTCGTCTAACGAACCGATCGAATTGCCAAGAAATTAATTTTTGTATAGTACAGCAATTTCGACATTATAACAGTGTGGAATTTGTTTTTCAGACTACGTCAATCGGTCTTCGCGATCCCGTCCCAGAGAATAGTGATATTTCTTCTCTGATGCCTACTTATTCCTCTAAACTAGTAACACCGGAGGTGATAATAATACGCACTTTCTTCAGAATATGTTTTGAAAATTAATGCTTTTAAATAGACAACTATTTCTAAGATTTTTTCGAAAATGACAGAAGTTTCTACTGCGACGCCGGCCTATTCTGTCACACCATTAGTGCCAAAGGTAATAACAATTCAACTATACGCATTTTTTTTAAATATGTCATTAGTACAAATTAATTTTTCTTACTATACTAACAGCCACGTTTTAACGAAACACTTATTTTTCAGACTCTGACTATCGGTCTTGAAGATTATACACACATTCCCACTACGGCACGTTCTATTTTAGAAATACTACCGGTACTAGCGGTTATCAGAAATGGAAAATTTAGATTTAATTCTAGTAGCATTTGATCGGAGGAATATGGCAACGTGTTACTTCAAACATACTTCATCCCGTAATGAGTGACTGATGATGAAGTATATTTGGAGTTGGAAAATTTCTACATTACTTATCGCATCGAATATTGCATTACATTATTCTATGAGGTGTTTGTTTCAGAATAATTCAACCTTACATGACCCATTTTCGCGCACATCCTACGGTTATTCCGCATTATCATTAGTGCCTGAGGTAATATTGTTATTATAAAACCAATTTCTTTAGAAAATTAATGTTTAAATAGAACAATGTTTCTACGATTTTAATGAAAATTTCAACAACAATCGTCCCCGAGAAAATCAGTCATGTTTCTACTTCTATACCTACTTATTCCCATAAACCATTAACACCGGAGGTGATAGCAAAGTATACCAATTACTATAGTATATGTTCTGAAAAAATTATTGATTTTAAATAGGAAAACGTTACGTCAATTTCTACGACTATTCTTCTTGATAATATCAGCCTTCTTTCTACTGTGACGCCGGCTCATTATGAAATACCATTAGTACCAGAAGTAGTAATAATTTCAATTAAAAGCAATATCTACACAATATGTTTTGCAAAGTAATTCTTTTTAAATAGACAAGCATTTCTCACATTTTCACGAATATAACAGCGACAACCGTTCATGACAATATCAGTGAACTTCCTACTGTGACACTGGCTTATTCTGAAATACCATTAGTACCAGAGGTAATAATAATTTAATTGTACATATGCGCAATGTCTTCAGAATTAGTTTTGAAAAGTAATTCTTTTTAAACAGACAAACATTTCTACCACTTTCACCAACGTAACAGCGAAAATCGTTCATGACAATATCAGTCACCTACCGACTATGACGCCGTCTTATTCGGAAATACCGTTAGTACCAGAGGTAATAACTATTTTATTTCTGCCCAATATCTACAGAATATGTTTTGAAAAGTAATTCTTTTTAAATAGGCAAACATTTATACCTCTTTCACTAACGTAACAGCGACAATTATTCATGACAATTTCAGTGACCTTTCTACAACCACGCCAGCTTACCCCGAAATACCATTATTACCAGAGGTTATAATAATTTTAATTATACTCAATATCAATAGAATATGATTTGAATAGTAATTCTTTTTTAAACAGACCAACCTTTCTACCATTTTGAAGAATATGACAACAACAATCGTTTTTGACAATATCAGTCACCTATCTACTATGACGCCGTCTTATTTTGAGTCACCATTAGTACCACAGGTAGTAATAATTTCATTGATATGCAATATCTACAGAATATGTTTTGAAAAGTAATTCTTTTTTAAATAGACAAACATTTCTACCACTTTCACCAACGTAACAGCGACAATCGTTCATGACAATATCAGTCACCTATCGACTATGACACCGTCTTATTCGGAATTACCATTAGTACCAGAGGTAGTAAAAATTTCATTTATAAGCAATATCTACAGAACATCAACGATATTATTTTGAAACAGACCAACCTTTCTACCATTTTGAAGAATATGACAACAACAATCGTTTTTGACAATATCAGTCACCTATCTACTATGACGCCGTCTTATTTTGAGTCACCATTAGTACCACAGGTAGTAATAATTTCATTGATAAGCAATATCTACAGAATATGTTTTGAAAAGTAATTCTTTTTAAACAGACAAACATTTCTACCACTTTCACCAACGTAACAGCGACAATCGTTCATGACAATATCAGTCACCTATCGACTATGACACCGTCTTATTCGGAATTACCATTAGTACGATAGGTAGTAAAAATTTCATTTATAAGCAATATCTACAGAACATCAACGATATTATTTTGAAACAGACCAACCTTTCTACCATTTTGAAGAATATGACAACAACAATCGTTCAAGGTAATATCAGTCACCTTTCTGCTGTAACGCCTACTTATCCTGAGTTACCATTGGTACCAGAGGTAATAATAATTTTATTTATAAGCAATATCTAGAGAATATGTTTTGAAAAGTAATTCTTTTTAAATAGCCAAGCTTTTCTAACAGTTTCACGAACGTAACAGCGACAATCGATCATGGCAATATAAGCCGTCTTTCTACTGTGACACTGGCTTATTCTGAAATACCAGTAGTAGCGGAGGTAATAATAATTTTTATTAGATACGATACTTAAACATAATAAGTTTCGAACGATATTTTGTAATATTCGAACCTTTCTGTCATTTTTATGAAAAGTACTCAGACCATCGTTCTTGAAAATATCAGTCACCTTTCTACTATGACATGAGATTATTCTGAAATACCATTAATACCAGAGGTGATAATCATTTTATTTATATGCAATATCGACAGAATATTTTTTGAGCGGTATTATTTTGAAATAGTCCAATCTTTCTACCATTTTCACGAATATGACAGGGACCATCGTTCATGACATTATCAGTAATCTTTCTACTGAGACGAAGGGTTATAATGAACAACCATTAGTACCATAGGTGATAATGCAGAAACATACTTAATTTCGAAATCAGAACATCTAAAATACTGCACCTACTGTTCTTTTATAAACAAAATCCAACGTCTCTTCTTTTATAACAGGATTCAATTTTGCAGGCTACAACGACAGTCAATTTTAATATCAGTCATTTTTCTCCTTCAACGCATACTTATTCCTTTAAACCATTAGTAGAAAAGGTGGTAACATAGTTATTATATAAGCAATTTCTTTATAATATGTTTTGGAATATTAATGTTTTGAAATAGACCAACGTTACTACGATTTCCATGAAAATGAACACGACAATCGTTCATGACAATATCAGTCATCTTTCTACTTCGACATCGACTTATTCCGAAATAACTTTAGGACCACAGGTATAATGTTATAAAAAATAAATTTATTATACCCATTCTTACAAGTTTTAAGCCAATATTACATATTTGTTTTTTAGAACACCACAAATGTTCATGTCAATTTCAGTACGAACGCTTCATCAGAAACGCAATCTGTACCAGAGGTGAATTAAAAACGGAAAATTTTAGTTTTATATAGGTTAGCATATTATAATATTTTTTGAGACATTTTTTCAGACGACCACAGTGGTTCATTTTCCTTCCTCGACGCGCTCTTTTTCCAAAACGGAACCAGTACCTCAGGTGAATTTGGAAATCGGAAATTTTTCATTTAATTCGTTTAGTTGTATGAAAATACCGAGGCACTATCAACATTTTGGTGTACAATATGTTTTTTCAGTAACATTATGCGAATATGCGATCTCTTTTTCAGACCACGAAATTCGTTCAAGATAAATTTACTCGTCGTTTGTCTTCTACAAAGATTTACCGAAAACCAGCACCAACCAAGGTGATTGTAGATCGGATAGTTAAATATGATTCTAAGTTAGTAAAAACTCTAAACAGTACGTAGTACAAAATTCTAAAGCGTTTTTATCAAAAATAACAATCAATTCAACTTTGTTAATTTTTTTTTAAATTTATTACTCGCCATGGTAAATTACCCGGTAAGTTATTCTATGTAGAGTATTAATGATAAACGACCGTAATATTTGAATTTCTGTAAACAGCTGATGCATACCGTGCAATATATTATTTAAGAAATTGCATAAAATATGGATAATTTAGTATAAACTTTCCATGACTCAATTACAATTATTTATTTTTCAGCTCTTTCGTTTTGCTCAGTTAGCGGCATTTTCCCCTAAATGGTGGAGGGTAATTACAGCAAAATTAAACTTATTGTTTATTATTATTTCAACATCAGAACACATTAGATTTGTTTTTCAGAAAAGTACAACTCGTTTTTCTCCTAAGACGGTTTCCACGACGAAGGTGATTTAGATCGAATTTTTAAATCTAAATTCTTATTTGTTTTAACATTATTCAATAGATTGTAATGACGTTTCTATAATTAAAGTTTTTTTTCTAGGCGACAACTACCAGTCATAAAATGTCTGAAAAGGTGATTGATTATACACCAAATAATTTAATTTAAGTTGAAAACAGTTGTTTTAAGCCTTTCATATTTATAAAGTTGATTTATAAATCAGTTTCAAACTCGGCCAAATGTTGAATAATTTGGGCAGTACATATCAATATTTTACATCTTAAATTGTTTTTTCAATTGTACTGACAGCTTCCCACCCTTACTTATAATTAGCACTAATATTATAGTCATATTCATAGTTAAAGAATAATTGCCCAGTCGAAATATCTTTTAGTAGTAGATGGCTATTTATTTTTTATATAAAAAAATGATTATAACACAAGGATTAAATTTATTGTTTAGTAGTTTTTTAACACAAATCAAAGGCAGTATTTAATGCAACGCATTTTATGTCTATCCCGTACTCTTATATGTGAGCAGTAATCTATGACTGATGAACTTTGAATCAATTTATGTTTGCAGACTGTCATTTGTCATTGTCATTACTATCATTTCCTTGAGAAAACTGTTTAACAAAATGATATTGATTAAGGGTATTAATAAATCCAAGAAATCGTGATTTTTCATTTTTTGGATATTTCGGGCTATTCGGCCATCTTCAGCAGCCCAAATGGGTAATTCCGGATTTCCTGAAATTATTAATGCCCTTCTAAATCTTCTTTTAAACTATACTATGAATAGTTTAATGTTAAATAGATGCCTGTTTGTGTAAGTAGAAAAAATCTATTGCAAGCACAATTAAGTCAAAAATTACTAAACGGATAAAAATCGTCCCTGTAACAAATAGGAATAATACCATTTTTTCAGTTTCTGCAGATAGACGGACAATTCAATTACGTACGTTACCCTGACAACTCTATGGCTGATTTAGAGAAACATTTTACCCACCAGGTGATTATTGTCGATCGATTCAATTTAAAACCTAGTAATATTTTAAAATAAAAATCTTGTGACAATGGTATTAAAACCCAATCGGGATCAACTTGTCAAATTTGATCGAGTCAATTTCATATCCCATTGTTTTCAATAAAAATGCATCAATCGTTATATTAATAATTATAATTAATAGAAAAATTTTACAAAACTAATTGTCAGGCGGTTATTGTGTAATAAAAGTGTAGATTATTCCAAATCTCGAATATTCAGGGAAAGTATCTCGTTAAATTTTAAAGTTATATCGTTTGATAATTTTCAATTTTCTTCCATGTTTTCAAAACATGGAACCTTGGGCAGTTTCCATTTTAAAGAAAAATTAAAATGTTTTTAGTAATGCTAAACTGTGAACAGCGGTGTAGTTCAAATATTGTTCGTTTGGGATTTCGACTTGTATTGATACGTTAGCGGTTCTGGGTACAAATCCTGCAATACCCCATAGAATTTTAATTGATAAAAATTTGCAAAAAAAAAATTATTGAAAATGGACCCCTCGTCCGCAACACCCAAATTGAATGTTAAACTCTCCTGTTTAACCAGAGCTATACTTTTTTAGTAATGTTAATCTTAAAAACTTTGAAGTACAAATAAAATAACATATTAGAAATGTATTTGTCACTAATGCAGATTAATGATTTATATTTTTAGAGCATGACGACCGTGCAAGATTATTTAATTAAAATGTTCGCTAACACTAATTCTCAAGAGCATGACGACAAAAAGGTGAATACAAAGTAGATTCAATTTTTGTTATTTTATTAATACTTCATTCGAAGATCTTTGACGGTGAGTTTAGCTGTAATTAATTTAGAATTTAATTACTTTCGGCTGAATATACGTGCAATTTTTTTTAAAATACTTATGACAATTAACTGAAGAGTGTAAAATTTTATCAGACGTTTAGAACCGTATTTTTTATATGGGAGTTTAATCATCAACAAATGACTTTATTTTTATATTTTGGACGGTTTTATGTAAATTTATCTTTCGACGTTCCGAGTTACAATAGATAAGTAATCCCCTATCGAAATAATTGTAATAAATATCTTTCATAAATTGAAATAAATATCTTTTGATATGTCCTCGTCAGAAATGAATGAAACTCAAAAAATATGGATCTTTTATTTTTTTAAAAATTGTTTAAATTGTCGTAAATAATCATCAGAAACCTACACCTGTTACTTTCCGAAACGTTCTTGTCATAATATTAACCCAAACTTATAAAATGATGAATGAAACTTGTCATAATTATAGTACTGTTGGCGTTAATTGCTTTTTGAATAAATCATGCTAAATTTCCTCGTCCTTTAGTCAAAAAGATCAAATAAAGATCTTAGATCATTCAATGTGAATGACCGCAGCTACTAAAAACTACTAATAAAATCACACGAACAATTATTTTAGTCAGTGGTTAATATATAATTTGTTTCTTACTGATCATTTTGGTCTGTCGATTGCGAAGATGGCGAAACTCAGGTTCAAAACGATCGATAACGACTAAATTGCAGGTTCATCACCACGCATAGCACATGGACAGATCTCATAATCAATAATGTTCAAAAGCGCTTGGTTGAATTGGTAATAGGTAAGGTTAAATTTATGGAAAAAGATAAAGTTTCAAATTTTTCAGAAAATAAAATACATATCTAGACTGTGCTTAAATATAGCAATGTCTTTAGTCTACTCAAAAGTTTACATATTCGGCTAGATGTAAGTATCAACCGGATATTGACATTGAAGATCAATGAGCTTGTTGGAGTAAATGAATCGTCAAATTCCTTGGTTGGCGGAAACGGGGAAAATGTACTAATAAAATCCCCTATAAGGAGATGTGATGGCTAAACTTATTTGGAAAAGGAATGTCATAAAGAGCATTCTGGAAGATGATCTAGTTAAAAAGTCTCCATATCCCGTTTACTCGTTCTACCCGATAATCACTTCCCAATTCCTGGAACGTTTCTGAGGAAATAATTGGATGCTGGCCGGAATAAAAACCAATTGGTTTAGAAATTGAAATGTACCAGCTACAAACAGTTTCCACTTTATTAAATCGATCGAAACTTGGCCAATCACGTGTGTATGTTGGGTTTAGCGCCAGATTGGCGAAGGGAGTCCTCGTGGGAAATTGTTTTCTGAGAAACGACAGCGACACATGTATGTACGAAAACTTTTATATATCCAAGTCCTAAGTTTCTAATGCGTCGCCTAAATTCTCTGGTAGTTCTAAAACGTTTTGACCAAGGAATGTAGTCAATTCAGACGCATTAGAACAATGAAGAAAATCGTTAATGTAATAAAATACGAATAAAATACTAATGAAAAACAAATAAGATTGATATATAAATAAAAAGATAAAGACAAAACTAAGAAAAACAGAACAAAAGGTAAATACATAAACAGAGATTGAGAGAATGTGAGAGAGAAAGATATATAGATAGATAAAGAGAGAAAGGAAGATTAATAGATAAATAGAACTATTAAGAAAGAAAGAAAAATGTAGATATATAGATAGATAAATTGAGAGATAGGAGAAGGTAGTGAGAGATGTGATAATATAGAGACAGATAGATAAAGATAGATGGAAGAAAAAGAAGCAAGATAAATAGACCTCACGGCGAGTGTGAGAAAGATAGATGACAGATGTATAAAGGGAGAAAAAAGGTTGATAGATAGATAAACAGAGAGTTAGAGAATGAGAGAGAGTAAGATAGGTGATAGATAAAAGGAGAAAGAAAAAGGAAGATTGATAGACGAAAAGAGAACAACATAGAGGAGAATAGTGATAATAGAGGGAGGGAGAGAGAGAGAGAGAGAGAGAGAGAGAGAGAGAGAGAAAGATTTATACATAGATAAAGAAAGAAAAAAAAAGAAATAGATATAGAAAGAGAGAAGGGAGAAGTATAGATACTTAGAAAGGAAGAGGAGTGTGAATAAACGTGCAAAAAATTTTGTCGCAGCATTTCACTATTTTAAATCCAAGTTATGATTTGACTACACTTAGTATTTTAAATAAATATATTCAACGTTTTCAAGAATAAATTTAAAAAGAAAATCAGATAAAATTTATCATCATTAAGCATTAGTTATCTTAGTATAAAATGAATTTGCGAAGATGAATCCAACTTCCTTTAATAACTGGCTTACAACCAAAAGATGATAAATAAATACCCCTGCGAGGAAAAAGTTAGATAGGGGACGTTTTGTAATATTTTGTTTTGAATAACTCTTGCTCGTAGTTTAATTATTGCGAGCATTAGTACACTTTTAGACACTTTTTTTTCATCCAGTAGTCGTTTTACTAAGTTGTTCCGTCGTTAATCCTGAGATAATTACCATGAAATGCGAGAGGAATCAATAGAATATACTATAAAAGATTTATTACTGCAATTTTATGCAATAATTGATTGTTAAAATATGAATAAATACAACATAGATCAAGTATTTAAATTATAATAATCCATTATGTTTTAGTGGTTTAATTGACTAAATTACTTTTTTCACTTAATTATTCTTTTTATGTAATGTTGAAAAGTTAATGTCACGAGCGAGATTCGAACCCACGACCTTCGGCTATATTATAATATTACACTAAAATCAAATAATGTTCGACAGTAGTGGACAAATTAAATCTTTGCCTTTTTTGTTGTTTTAGATGCTTTGTATCGTATTCCTAAAGAATGCATCTTTTCTAGACGCTTTTTAAGACTGTTAATGATTAATGAACCAACAAGGGATTCTAGTAAAGGTCAAAATTTGCATTTATTTTCCATGCAACATCACGAAAGTTTGAAACTTTTATGTCTCCTTGGGGGAAATCAATGACAACCTTCTATTTTTAAGGCTTTAACTTAAACGAAAATGAGCATTCAGTTATTAAATTAGTTATGATGGTTATTAAAAACACGTCGGATAGAAGCCTAAAATTAAAATTGTTGCAGGCATAATATTATAAGGTTAAATTTGAAAAGTAGCTGACATTCTTCAGTATTAGGTATTATTTTTTTATGCATTATTGTTTTGCTATTGCAAAAGGTTTTTAGTTAGTTAAAAGTAACGACTTGATTCCATGTAAAATAAGTTGTATGGTTTGGATTAATAAAATAGTTCCGAAAAAGTATGACATTTAGTAAATTCACTAGTTTCGTGGTCCGCTTGACCAATTTGGCATTTAGTTTCACCATTTGAAAATAGTGCTAGTGAATATAGGTTTAACCATTACAGTCATTACGAATTTTGATCAAACTTGATCAATTTTTCTTTTGGCCTTTTATAACATTTGTTTTGAAGTGATCAAAATAATAAATGTTGGGCAAACTATGGTATTTTCGCTTAATTAAGCGATTTGAATAGTCAATAATTTATATCTCTATATCTCAAAAATTTAGCCAATCTTTTAATCTTTTTTGTGAGAAAGACTATTCACGCAGACAATTTTAGTCGGCAGAAGAATGATTAACGAGCAGTCGGTTTTATGTAGCGATAAATGTGTTACATCATCACATAATTTGATTTAATTTAACACCGAACATTGCTAAAAATTGCGAAAGGTGATTACTAACCAGTGTTGATTTAATAGCTGCGGGCTTATTTACATAATAGAAAATGTTTTACATCTAGAAAAACAAGCTTATGAGATTTTTGTTTCCAAAAAGAACTACCTTTCGACTCGGCCAAATAATTCAAAAAGGATCCGCGCTGTGAGCCACCTCCGAGTGGTCAATATTATTGCGAAGAGGACTTTTCTGCGATCCAGGATTCTGGTTCGCAATTTTCTTTAAGGATAATCCTTCGTCATTTTTTTTTTTTTTTTTGTGATTATACTCGCAAATTCTTGTATTTCTAAGTAGGCACCCTATTATACGTCACTTTCGAAATAATTTAATTTTGATTTTTTATATTGAACATAGTCATTTATTAAATGGGACGACAGATAAAAGTGAACAGTTTATTACCGCATTATAAAACGAAAAAGATCGATTAATTTTAAATAGGTAGAATTTTAAAAGTCGCTGAAGTTCATTCAGTTGTTTCATTTTGTTTAAAGTTCTATCTTCTTTCTTGTCGATATATTGGTTTGTAAAATAAATCCACAGTGTTTTACGTTAATTCTATTTTATCGCTTTTGTTTTGAAGCAATGTTTATTTAGTCTGTTTACCCACTCAGTAGAGGGATTGGTTAAGGTGTTTTTTATTTGGTAGTTTCGTTGAGTTAAAATTGAGGAAAAAAGTGCATTCTCATAATTTGTTGGTTAAAAGTTTTTTGTTTGGTGTGAACAGTGCTGAGAAAACATTCCGTAAGTGTTTTGAAATATTCGGAAGCGGAAATTTTGATTTAGAACACTTAAAGGCTCTGGTCGTCGTTCGATTGTCGATGATGACAAAATTCAAGCTTTTGTCACAAATAACCCACACTCGAACACATTGAAGTGAGACGTCTCATACGAGCGTTTCATCGCATCTTAGAGCTGTCCAATTTATTGGTCCCTCGTGTTGACTAAATACAACACCAATTGCGATTCCTTTCTAAAAAGCAATTTAAACGACCCATTTATGAAAAGTTGATAATCGGAAAACAAAAATTGGTTCTTTACAATAGGGTTCAGAGAGGAAATCTTGGAGAACACGCAGCAAACCTCCGTTTATAATTCGTAAATTTCCCATTTGATACTTATTCCGGGAACTTCAAAATTATTTTAAAACGGAGAACTTTATTTAACTTGAGG